AATGGGTTCACAAGCTTATCATGTAGTCATCATCATCTTTATAACTAATATTCACTAAGAACCTAGTTGAAATTCAAGCACTTTTATTTAATCATTCCACACCTTATGAAGTAGGTATCATTGTTGATCCTATTTTTACAGATAAAGACCAGGTGGTACGTGGAGGTTGACTTGCTCATATTCTCACATATTATTAAAAATATAGCTAAAATTCCAAACAAAACAGCATGCTGCCCCAAGGACATATCTTTGCCGTTTAGAAAAAAAGGGACAAATTGATACACAGAATTTGTTATTGATATGTCCTTGTGTTTAGAAAATATACTATCTTCTTTTTGTTCCAATAACTTCTCAATGTCTTCTTCCGAATCCCCAAGCTTTTAATCACAATAAATTATATTAAAAAACTACATAAGAAATAAACCATTGGTAGGCATCAAACTATCCAAAACCTTAGAACTAAAGGTTTAAAAGAAATAGCATCTTGTGATAATGTATAATACAGAAGTCTAAATAACGTTTTTTAATGTCTGAAGTGAATTATCTTTATTTTTTTTATTTAATTGTTCAAGTACAGTTTTCTGTCTTTTACTCCCATTCCAGCCTACCCTCCCCAGTGCTCCCCACCTTTCTCCCATTTCCATCTCCCTTAGTTTTTGTCCATGTATCCTTTATACTAGTTCCTGTAAATCCTTCCCCTTTTTCCTCTAAAATTCCCTCCCCTCTCCCCTCTGGTCACTGTCCGCCTGTTCTCTATTTAAGTATCCTTGGTTATATTTTTCTTGCTTGTTTGTTTTGTTGTTTAGCTTCCTGTTAAAGGTGAGATCATATGATATTTGTCTTTTCAAAGCCTGGCCTATTTTACTCAGCATAATGCTTTCCATTTCCATCCATGCTGTTGCAAAAGGTAGGAGCTCCTTTCTTTCTGCTGCATAAAATTTCATTGTGTATATGTACCATCATTTTTTGTTCCATTCATTTCCTGTTGGGCACCTAGGTTGCTTCCAACTCTTGGCTATTGTAAATTGTGCTGCTATGAACACTGGGGCGTATAGGTTCTTCCAGATTGGTGTTTCAGGGTTCTTAGGATATAATCCTATCAGTGAAATTGCTGGGTCAAAAGACCTGTATGCAGAAAAGTACACAACACTGAAGAAAGAGGTTAAGGAAGACATAAACAAATGGAAACATATACCATATTCATGGACTGGAAGAATTCACATCATCAAAATGTCCATACTATCCAAAACAATTTACAGATTCAATGCAATACCTATTAAAGTAACAATGGCATATTCACAGACATAGAAAAAACACTTCAAAAGTTTATATGGAACCATAAACGAGCCCGAATAGAAGCTGCAATTTTGAGAAAGAAGAACAAAGTAAGGGGGATCACAATACCTGATACCAAACTGTATTACAAGGCCACTATAATCAAAACAGCCTGGTACTGGCATAAAAACAGGCACATAGACCAATGGAACAGAACAGAGAGCCCAGAAATAAAGCCAAGCCTCTACAGTCAATTAATATTGGACAAAGGGGGCAGCAACTTAAAATGAACTAAAAATAGCCTATTCAACAAATGGTGTTGGGAGAACTGGACAGTTACACACACACAAAAAGAAACTGGAGCACAAACTTACACCATACACAAAAATAAATTCAAGGTGGATAAAATATTTAAATATAAGCTGTGACACCATTAAAGTCCTAGAAAAGAACATAGGCAAGAAAATCTCAGATATTTCATGTCGCAACTTTTTTACTGATATGTTTCCTAGAGCAAGGGACATAAAGGAAAGAATAAACAAATGGGATCTCATCAAAATTAAAAGCTTTTGCACGGCTAAAGAAAACAGTAATAAAATAAAAAGAGATCCAACTGTATGGGAAAACATATTTGCCAATGATACCTCAGACAAGGCTTTAATCTCCAAAATATACAAAGAACTTACACGACTTCAATCTAGGAAGACAAGCAGCCCGATTGTAAAGTGGGCAAATGACTTGAACACACACTTCTCCAAGGAGGACATACAGAGGATCCAGAGACACATGAAAAGATGCTCAATATCACTAGCTATCAGAGAGATGCAAATTAAAACCACAATGAGGTACCACTTCACAGCAGTTAGAATGGCCATCATAAAAAAAGCAACAATCAATAAGTGTTGGAGAGGTTGTGGGCAAAAGGGGACCCTAATCCATTGTTGGTGGGATTGCAGACTGGTACAACCACTATGGAAAACAGTATGGAATTTTCTCAGAAAAGTCCATATAAATTTTTGAAGTGTTTGTTCTATTTCTGTGAAATATGCCATTGGTGCTTTAATAGGTGTTGCATTGAATCTGCAAATTGCTTTGGATATTTTGATAATGTTAATTCTTTCAATCCATGAACACGGGATATGTTTCCAGTTGTTTCTCTCTTCCTTGATTTCTTTCTTGTGTTGTGTAGTTTTCTGCATACAGGTCTTTTACCTCTTTGGTTAGGTTTATTTCTAGGTATTTTACTTTTCTTTTCACTATAATGAATGAGATTTTTTTCTTGATTTCTGCTTCTGCTGTTTCATTTTGTTATACAAAAACACATTTGATTTCTGGATATTGACTTTGTATCCTGCTGTTTTGCCAAATTCATTCATTAGGTTGAGCAGTTTTGGGGTGGAGTCTATAGGATTTTCCATGTACACTATCATGTCATCTGCAAACAGTGACAGTTTTGTTTCCTCCTTTCCAATTTGGATGCCTTTTATTTCCTGTTCTTGCCTGATAGCTGTGGCTAAAACTTCCAATACTATATTGAATAGAAGTGGTGAAAGTGGACAACCTTGTCTTGTTCCTGGTCTTAGTGGAAAAGCTTTTAGTTTTTCTCCATTGAGTATGATAGTGGCTGTAGGTCTCTCATATATGGCCTTTATTTGAGGAATGATCCCTGTGCTCCCACTTTGCTGAATGTTTTTTATCATAAATGGGTGCTGTACCTTTTCAAATTATTTTTCCAACTCTATTGATATGATCATTTGGTTTTTGTCTTTGCTTTTATTTATGTGATATATTACATTTACTTATTTGTGAATATTATACCACAGATACATTGCTGGAATGAATCCCACTTGGTCATGGTGTATGATCTTTTTAATGTTTTGTTGGATGTGGCTTGCTAATATTTTATTCAGGATTTTAGCATCTATGTTAATCAGCAATATTAGCCTGAAGTTTTCTTTCTTGGTTGTGTCTTTATCTGGTTTTGGGATTAGGATGATGCTGGCTTCATAAAAAGAGTTTGGGAGTCTTCCGTCATTTTGGATTTTTTGGAAGAGTCTGTGAAGGATAAAAGTTAGCTCTTTTTTAAATTCTTTGTAGAATTCTTCTGTGAAACCATCTGGTGCAGGGCTTTTGTGTGTGTGGTGTTTTTCAATTACTGCTTCAATTTCATCTGCTGTTGGTCTATTCAGGCTTTCTGCTTCCTCTTCATTGAGTTTTGAAAGATTATATTTTTCTAGAAATTTGTTTATTTCACCTAGGTTTTCAAATTTCTTGGCATACAGTTCTTCATAGTAATTTAATCCTTTGTATTTCTGTGGCGTCAGTTGTAATCTCTCCTCTTTCACTTCTGATTGTGTTTATTTGGGTCCTCTCTTTTTTTTCTTGATGTGCCTGCTTAAAGGCTTGTTGATTTTGTTTATCTTTTCCAAAACCAGCTTCTGGATCCATTGATTCTTAGAATTGTGCTTTTAGTCCCTATGTCATTTAATTCTACTCTGATCTTGGTAATTCCCTTCTTTCTTCTTGCTCTGGGCTGTCTTTGTTGTTGTTCCTTGAGTTCTTATAGGGGTAGGGTTAGATTGTTTGTTTGAAATGTTTCTACATTTTTAGGTAGGCCTGTATTGCTATGAACTTACCTCTCAAGACTGCCTTAGCTGTGTCCCATATGTCAAAACAGTTTTTATGGTACATTTTAGAAAGAAGTCAGGCCTTTCCATGAGGCCACCTGTTGACTATCATTGTCAACTGGGACCTGCCTCCCTCATGGGAGTCTCAGCAAAATTCAACTCCAATAAGAATCCCTAATTTGTGATGCATTTAAGAAAGAATGTTTATTCAGTGCAAACAGCTCAGTTGTGATACACCACAGCTGTAAATACGCATGGCTATAGAACAGCTCAATTGTGATATAACATGGCTTTGAAAGCAGCACATTTATCAGGGGGCTCTGAGTTGAGGAAGGCCTAGGGCCAGATTCCTTGCCTAAAGAATAGCTTTGCTCTTCTGTTTGATGATTTGATCTGCTCTGTTCCCTGCTGGTCATCTCTGCTCTGCACTGGTCTGCTCCAGAGAGAAAACTTGGATGTCTCAGCTGTAGGTGAGGAAACACATTCTTCATTCATTTGTGGAAAGAAAAAGGTGTGCTCTCAGAGTAAAAAGGTGGCTGACTTACATATAGAGAAGTCCTTGGGCAACTCCTATCCCTGATTGATTTATCTTAATGAGTATGAACACTCCAAATCTTAACAGTTTGGTCCAAAAGGCACTGTTTTGATTGGTCAAAGTGGAGCTGCTCTGATTGGTCACTGAAGAAGCTATATCAACTGTATCCCTCATGGGGATATACTTGTGGGGCATCTTCCAGTGGATGTGGAAAGCCTTAATTTTATTGGTTGAAATAGAATGCCAGGAACTTCTTTACAAGGAATGGCACTGATGGCAGGAACACAGTGTAAGCAGGAAGTTCAGTGTAGGAGGCAGGCAGCTCAGTGCAATTTCTTCCTGAACTGCAGCTTCTACAAGAGGTTCCTCTATAAAAATCACTGCTATTTTTTTTTTATTTGAGCCCAGTTTGAGACTGGGAGCCATTCTTAGTAATTATCTTCTTTTTTTTTGGTCCACAGGAGAACCCATGTTGCAGTTACTTAGGGTGTCCTCTTTGGCCCTGGCTATTTCTTCCTGAGTTGTACCTTATTTCTCAGCCCCATTTTACTCTTTTCTTTCAGCTGAAACTAAGATCTGCTTCAAATACTACCATGGAGCGAGTGGAGCCCTGCGAGCTACCACCCCAAGTGTCACCATCAAGAATTCTGCAGCTCCGGTAAGTCTCATTTCTTCCTCTTTGGTCAAAACTAACACTGTAATTTTTTAATTTTTCCTTTTGTTATGTGTGTGTGTGCGTGTGTGTGTGTGTGTATGTGTGTGTACACACACATAAAGACATATTGAGATATTATGAATAGATAGACACAAACCTCAAAATAATAGAGAGATGAGATCTTAAAGCAACCTAATTAAGATGCATATCACTTTTTGTTAGAGAAATATCAAGCTTCAGTAGTAGATAGCCAGATGTTTCTAACAAATTCATGCTTAATAAAGTGAATAAACTTTTCTTTGGAACACATTTTTTAATTTCTTAGTTTCAAATACTTATGTTTTTATATGTTTTAATTTTGTTTTAGGCTTATAACTAAATCACTAATTTTAGTATTATAATTATAAAATAGTAAACCTAGAAAAGACTAGAGTCTCTGAACTTTTATTTCTACAGTAAGGAAACTGTGCTCAAAGATATTAAGTAATGTATTTAAGGTCACACAGCTAGCTAGTTGCTCATCAGTGTTTTAAATCAAGTCTTTTGTTCCCTATCCTGTGGCTTCCATCATTACTATCATAATAGCACCTTTTCCTAAATTACAGTCTAGTGTAGTTTACCTTAGTTCTCAATACATATAATCAGGCTAGCTGAAATTTACTTACAAATGGCATTTTTATCCTTTTCACATAAGTCAAAAATTACCAAATAGGAGAGACTGAACAAAAACCAGTGAGAACTTTGTCATGGCATTGTAACTCATTTTTTTTTCATATGAGAAAGGGGAGAAAGTACTTGAAATGAAATATAAATGATTCAGAAAGTACTTTGGCTCTAAAATATACCATTTTGTTGTTTTACAAATCAGTTTTTCTATGTGCTGAAGATGAGCAAGTTGAGTGTTTGGTGACAGTAATAAGATTAGCAGGCCAGATCTGCCTTCATCCTGAGAAATAGAGCAGAACTGGATGCTGACCTGGGGCAGGCCATGGTGGGAAGGGGAGAGGTGTCAGGGCTTACTTGGAGGGGACAGGGAGTGGGAAAGGAGGGAAAACATGAGAGATCATATGCACTTTTGACTGCTGTGCCACTTTCTGTACACTAGATATTTAGATTGGGACTTGAGGTCTGTCATTTTACTGGCTGGGACCTGAATTAAAGTGTGGAAATTTGCCAGACTTAATTTTCCAGGCCCATTTGTGTGGGTTATTCTTAAAAGAGGATACATGGAAAAGACAAAGAGGTCTTGATACATGTTACCAATTGTGAAGGCATGGGGGTCAGTTAAATCATGGCAGCAAGGCTAGAGCTGCCACTGAATTAAACCAGAAGTGAGGTGGACAAAACAGTAAGGCATTGAACACAGAGCAGACAGAGAAGGAAGGAGGCTGGAAGTGGAGGTGAGCTGATTTAGAAAAAAGCCTTTCAGATGCATGCTTAGCTGGCTTTTTGCCAAGGAAGAAAGTCATGTGATGAGGGACTACTGATGCCAGGAGCAAGGGCTTATGTCTGAGATGAGGAAACATCACATCAGGTGCTTCAATCATATTAGGGAGATTGCAATGATTTTGTGTCAGCTTTCACTATACCCATTTTTGTATTCCATGTGTATTGTTTGTATTTAAAACTCAGGCATCTTGAAATACTTTGAGATGTTTCTGTTGTACTGATTATCATCTCTATAATGATTTTTTTCACATAAATCAGTAGACACTTCATTTGACACTTTATTGTACATTTCACTTTTCTTTCTCTTCTTAATCTTCAGGCATGTGAGAGCACAATCATAAAGCCCATGTGAGACCAGAGATAGAGACAGAATAATCATCCTATTTCCTCTTTGGAGATGAGCGCTTAGAGTCATGTGGCAGAAGAAAATATGTGTGCTTCTACAAGACAGTATTTTAATGTGCAGTTGGGTTTTATAACAGTTAAACTTTTAGTGGCCCTTACTGTTCTGTATCATGGTGGACTTTTCAAAGAAGTTTTACTTGCATTTTTCTAGTAGATTTACAGCACATTTGTGAGATGAGCAAGAAGTATCATTTTGTTTAAGTGACCATTTGGCTATATGGAAATCAAGCTGATTCAACTTTAGCTTATACTTTTTGCAACTCACTACAGTTACTAGTATAAACTAGCAAACTTCTGGGTTAAATAAGTCTGTGGTTTGATCTGGGACTTAAGCACACTGTTTTTAAGGGAAATGTATTTAAGTGTCCTAAAATGATTTTGTCAATAAATTTTAGTGTTTGTAAACTGAAGATTGCTGGTGCTACAGTAAACACATATGGAGAATTGGTTTTCTGTGGACATTATATTATATTTCAAAAGTCGTAGAGTTAGTTTATGACAATATACTAAAACTGTAATTTATGAAAAGGGGCAGCAAAACTGATGAAAAAATGGAAAAAGAGGAAAGGAAATGTGGAACAAACTGACAGTAATAGAGAAGAGGCGGGAGAGAGAGACTAGATGAAAGTAGGTAAAAGGATTATCCAAAGAATACATATACACATAACTTATAGATACAGACAACAGTGTGATGATGGTAAAGGTGGGGGCTGGGTGAAGGCAGGCAAAGTTGGGGAAATGGGGACATCTCCATTTGTGTCAACAATAGTGTCAACAAAAAAAAGATTTTTTGAAGATACCAGTTGTTCCCTTAGTATAACCAGTACTTTAATGTTTTGAGCATATCAGGTTATCAATATGTACTAGTTCTTTTTCTCATGTTCTCATTTACCTTATTGTTTGCCCTACTGACATTTGTTGAGGTCCCTGTTATAACAAATGGTTTCCATTTATCCTCATCTTTCTAGGACATTTATTTTTTAGTTTTTTAAAAATTACAGGTAACAGTTTTATTAGACAAACTACCAAATGACATCCTCAGCATCAGAATTTTTAGTTTCTTCATTTCACTTGTCATGTAACAAAAATATTGTCACCATCCTCCCATGACTAACATTGTCCCATGTTATTCTGTTATTAGCTATACTTTGCTGGAGCTGCCATGTATTTTTAAAATCTCAGATCAAATACCCTTCACTCTCATTATGACTGTGGGAAAGCACAGACTCTATGTTTGATGTATATTTCCCCTTGTTGTAAGCACAAATAGCCATTTCTAGTCAGTAATGGTCATATTCTCTTTTGCCATTAATCCCATCTTCTTAAAGTTTATTCATTTAGTACTTCTTCAAATTTTATTAAGTCTATAATATATGCAGATCACTCTATTAGATATGGAAGGAAGCAAAGACTAGTAGAATATCATTGCCTTTAAGTAATTTAAAGCTAGTGGAGAAAGGATGCATGCACATCAATGAATATAAAATGCAAAGCTGAGTGTGATGGGATCTAATAGTATTCATTCCAGTTCAGGTGCTCCTTCTTCTGCATCTAGCTAAACAAACAGGACCACCAAGTGCATTTGAATGGAAAGATAGAAAATCACTTTGCTGTTCTGTGAAAGGCTGTGGTAGAGAAAGTCTACATGGCAAAGCCTGCTTTGGGGACAAAGCGTAGGTTGTGAAACATGAGCATAGAGTGTTAAGGTAAACATAAGTTGATTCTATCAGTAACTTTATGTGATGCTTTCAACTCTCTGGAACATGTTTCTATTTTTGAACCATTTCCTTTTTCTCAGCATTTATGAGACAACTATTTTATTGAATATGTTTGGATCAAACTGGTTCACAAAACCAGGTTTCAAGTGTACAACTCAACAAAACATCATCTGTCCACTACATCATGGACTGATTGCCCATAGCAAAATCTCTTTCCGTTCTCATTTTTCCCCATTTTGCCCACCTCTACCTAACCTCACCACACTTTCCCTCTGGCTATCACCACTCTATTTTCTGTGTGTATAAGTTATACATATATGTTCTTTGACTAACCCCTTCACAATCTTTTATCCAGCTCCTCAACCCCCACCCACACCAAAAGCTGTCAGTCTGTTCCATGTATCCATGTCTGTTTCTATTTTGTTCATCAGTTTCTTTTGAGTGTTAGATCCTAAACATAAGTGAGATTATATGGTATTTGTATTTCTTTGACTGGCTTATTTCACTTATAATAATCTCTAGGTCCATCCATGCTGTCACAAAAGGTAAGATTTTTTTCTTTCTTAGAGCTGTGTAATATCCCATAGTGTAAATGTACCTCAGCTCTTTTTATCCACTCATCTACTGATGAGCATTTGGGCATATTCCATATCTTGGTAATTATAAATAATGCTGAAATGCACATACAGGGGGAGATATATATTTTTGCAATTAGTGTTTTGGTATTTTTTGGATATATTCCCAAAAGGAGGATCACTTGGTAAAAAGGCAGTAATATTTATGTTTTTAAGGAAACTCCATACTGTTTTCCACAGTGGCTGCACCAGTCTGTAGTTCCACTAACATTGCACTAACATTCCTTTTACTCCACATTCCCACCAGCACTGGATGTTTGTTGATTTATTGATGATAGCCATTCTGACAGGTGTGGGGTGACATTTTATTGTGGTTTTAATTAGCATCTTTCTGATGATTAGTGATATTGAGCATCTTTTCATAAGTCTATTGGCCATCTATATGGCCTTTTTGAAAAAGCATCTTATTAGATTCTTAGCCCATTTTTTAAATTGGATTGTTTGTCTTCTTTGTGTTGAGTTGTATAAGTTTTTATATATTTTTGAAATTAACCTTTCATTGGATATATCATTGGTAAATATTTCCTCCCATGCATTGGAATCTGTTTTCATTTACTGATTGTTCCCTTTGCTCTGCAAAGGCATTTTAGTTTGATGTAGTCCCATGTATTCATTTTTTCCCTTTCTTTCTCTTGTCCAATGAGATATACCAGCAAAAATATTGCTATGAGAAATTTCTGAAAGTCTACTGCCTCTGTTTTCTTCTAGGATTTTTATGGTCTCATGACTTACACTTAATTTTTTATGCATTTTGATTATATTCTTGTGTATGGTATAAGTCAGTGTTTAGTTTTAT